AAAAAAAAAAAAAAAAAAAGAGAGACAGTACTTTGAATATCTGTCTTCTTGCTTAGCCAGTGTTCTAGACTAAGATTTGATTTCTGTTCCTGCTGTCACTATGTGAAACAAACTGTTTAGCCTCTCTACATGGATGGCATTATTCAAACCTGAAGTATTAGAGAGGTTACTTGCAAGTTTCTTTTCTGCTCTGAAGTATTTATGGTTCATTTCCTTGACCCTTATCTTAAGGCTAGAACTAAAATTGGTCAGGAATTTCCTAGAGCAGGACAGTTAGGAAATGCTTTTTTCCTGTTAATGACGTAAAAAGAAATGTCAGTATAAATAAGATCCTCCTTTGAATAAATGCTGTAGTGTGTTGCTAAAATACAAATTACTGGGAAAGTGAAACCACTTCCTTTAGCAGTCATCTTGTTATTTTGTCAAAATATTAAAAATTGTGAATTTTTAACCACTTTATGATTAAATTTCAAAAACTTAGGTAGCCTGCATATGGAAGAGATGGAAGCATAAAAATATATGACTTCTCTTTTTTTTCTTATTTATTTATTTTAGAGACAGGGTCTCACTATGTTGTCCAGGCTGATCTCAGTCTCCTGGGCTCAAGCAGTCCTCCCACCTTGGCCTCCCAAAGTGCTGAGATTACAGGCATGAGCCATTGCACCCAGCCCTGTCTTTTTTTTATTTTCATGGAAGTTACTTTTTGTCCTTGATTTATCATGTCATTCATCCAAGCAAATATGTGCTTATTGTCTAGCACTGTGTACTAAATACAGGAACCAGAACTTGCTGTGTCCTAACTATGTTAAGTGAGGATACATCATCCTTCCAGCACATTGATGTGTAGCATAGCAAGGTGTACAGAGCATTGCTAACCTCAAAAGCTCACTTGAGCTTTGATGTCCAGGGTTTTTCCTGGGGTTTCATTCTGTAGACACAGTTGGTGAGTCTTAAGCAACAAGGTTAGGCTCAGTTTTCAGCACCCCTCCAACTGGAGACCATGTTGATATCAAAAAAGGCACTTCAAAGCCCTTTGTTCTGAGTCCTCTTGTTAGTTTATCCAGAAGCCCACTATTAGTTACCTGGTTAACAAACTACCAGGACCTATGATGAATAGCAAAGACTTGTATCACTAGGGAAATTACAAGGATTTAGAGACCACCTTTCAAAATGAAGGTAAAAAACCAGCCAAATTCTTTGTTATACAATAGGACCTATAGTTTTCTTTGGACTCTCAACAGAGGTCTATACCCAGAAAAAGAATAAAGGACCATGCCTTAGAACATGTCAGTATAGCAGTTTTTTCTTGATAATTACGATCTGTATATGTATTTTAATGGAATGAACATTTTTACATGTCTGTTGCTTTTAACATGTCATACTTTACAACCTCTTCAACAACCCCATCCCAAGTCAGTTTATAATGATTATATATTATGTTTCTATTTTAAGTAGTCTTTTTCCAATTCAAAAGTGCCAGCTGATCAAGCTCACAAAGCATTTTGGTACTCTTCAATTGATCCATAAAAGTGCAGTGTTTTTGCTGTGTTGGAATGGTGAGCTCTTAATGTAACCAGAAGGAAGAGTTCTTAAACTTTTAACACCGAGGACATATTAAATAACAGTGAATGGAAAACTTTTCTCTTGCAGCATTAATCTTAATATGATATTATTATATTTTCAGGAAACTGCTAAAGTTCCTGGGGAAGCAAAGTAGAATTTTTCATAAGAACAAAATGGGTAAGTTAAAGATAATTAATTTTGTGTTTTCATTAGTAGAAACTGGTTTTTCATTTCAAAGATAGATCTTCAAAATCAGTGAATGCAAGTAAAATTTCAGTAAACAAAGTAAATTTCAGTAGATTGAAAATAGTTGTCCACATCAACAGCTAATGTCTACTACACAGTCATGCCCTGTATAATGATATTTTAGTCAGTGTTGGACCAATGTGTGACATGGTCTCAGAAAGATTATAATAGAGCTGAAAAATTCCTGTTGCTTACTGTGACATCTTGATGATCTTGTCCTTGTGTAGGCCTCAGCTAATGTGTGTTTGTATCTTAGTTTTTAACAAAAAACTTTTAAAAGTAGAACAAAATTTAAAAGTTTTTAAAATAGAAAAAAGCATATAGATTAAAAATATAGGCCGGGTGCGGTGGCTAATACCTGTAATCCCAGCACTTTGGGAGCCCGAGGCAGGCAGATCATCTAAGGTCAGGGGTTCAAGACTAGCCTTACCAGCATGGAAAAACCTTGTCTCTACTAAAAATACACAATTAGCCAGGCATGGTGGCGCATGCCTGTAATCCCAGCTACTTGGGAGGCTGAGGCTGGAGAATCACTTGAACCCAGGAGGTGGAGGTTGTGGTGAACCAAGATCACACCATTGCACTCCAGCCTGAGCAACAAGAGGGAAACTCCATCTCAAAAAAAAAAAGAATACAAATAAAAATAGCGCTGGGTACATGGCTCACGCCTGTGAGCCCAACTGCCTGGGAGGCTGAGATGAGAGTTGGAGTGAGCCCAGGCGTTTGGGGCAGAAATAAGCCATGATTGTGGCACTGCGCTCCAGCTGGGCAACAGGTTAAGACCCTGTCTCTAAAATATAAAATAAATATATAAGTAAAATGCTTGAGGTTCTTTGGGGAAGTGAATTTTTAAAAATACATATTTTTACATATATAAATACACTGTATAGCATATTTATTTTAAGCTTAAGTGTTATTTCAAGAGTCAAAAAGTTTTAAAAATTAAGGTTTATAAACCAAAAATTACAGTAAAGTTAATTTATTATTGAAGAAAAAATCGGTGTACTGTAGCCTAAGTATACAGTATTTACGAAGTCTGTAGTAGTATAGTAATGTCCTAGACCTTAACATTCACTCACCACTCACTCACCTATTCACAAAGAGCAATTTCCAGTCCTGCAAACTAGTCCTGGAAATTAGTGAGTGCCTTATACAGGTATACCTTTTAAAATCTTTTATGCTGTATTTTTACTGTACCTTTTCTATGTTTAGATACACAAATACCATCATGTTATAGTTGCTTACCGTATTCAGATAGTAACATGCTGTACAGGTTTGTAGTGTAGGAGCAGCAGGCTGTATCATATAGCCTCGGTGTAAGTATACTCTAGATTTTGTAAGTACTCTCTTAAGATGTTTGCGTCATGACAAAATTGCCTAATTGATACATTTCTTGGAAGGTATCCCCATTGTTAAGAAATGCATGACTGTATATTCCTGACAGGCAGATCAGTAATAATATCGTGCTAACTCCAATTTGTGATTTCTAGTGAGTAGTTTTACCTTAAGAAATTTGAAACTCTTCCAACAAAATGATTTCTGTTGTTAAAAACATTAGAAGCATAAATTGAAGTAACTATTTTTATTTTTCTTCTTAGAGGTTGGCAGAAACTGCTAAAAATCTGTATACTTGAATAGTCTATAAGTTAGAAGCTACTTACATCATTATGGGTCCCCAAGCTTTTTATGAAAAATTAGACAAAAAAAGATACTAACATAGCTTTCACCAGATTGTTAACGTTTTGCCACATTTGCTTTCATACACGCGTGCGTGTGTGTGTGTTCATGTGTGTGTGTCTGTGTTTTCATATTGTAGAGTTGGCAAAACTCCATCTCAGTCCTCTTGGAGTCCTGGCTGGGTCTCAGAATTAAGTCGGCATACATATTTATTACAAGTTTTACATGGAATGGAAGCCCATTTTAAAATAACAGTGACCAAAGCCAGGCATGGTGGTGCCCGCCTGTGGTCCCAGCTACAGCTACTTTGAAGGCTGAGACCTAAGGGTCCCTTGAACCCAGGGGTTCCAGGTTACTGTGAGCCATGATTGTGCCACTGCACTCCAACCTGGGTGACAGAGCAAGGCCCTATCTCCTAAAAAAAATAAACTGCAAGTAAGTAAGTAGGCTGGGTGCAGTGATTCATGCCTATAATTCCAGCACTTTGGGAGCCGAGGCAGGCGGATCACTTGATTTCACTTGATTTCAGGAGTTCAAGACCAGTTTGGCCAACATGGTGAAACCCTATCTCTGCTAAATACAAAAATTAGCTGGGCGTGGTGGTGGGCACGTGTAATACCAGCTGCTCAGGAGGCTGAGTCAGGAGAATCTCTTGAACCCGGAAGGTGGAAGTTGCAGTGAGCCAAGATTATATCACTGCACTCCACAACAAGAGTGAGACTCTGTCTCAAAAAATATAAATGAATGAATGAATGAATAAATAAATGGGCGGGTGGATGGATGGATGGATGGACTGACAAAGTTTTTAAAATGATCATACTGCATTAACTTGTCTCTTTAGTTTCTTAAAGACTGATCCTCAATTCAAATTTGTGTGGTTGTTTTCTTGTGATTTGAATCAAACAATTTTTGGCAGTGGTAGCACATGAGTGATTTTGATATTTAATTTTAGAGATTTCTGAATTAATTAATAAATAGAGATTTGTGGCTGAACAAAATCTCTTTGAGCTTCATCCTTCTCATTCTTTTTAGGGCTTCCTAAGTTTTTAGGATAAACCTTAAGATATTTTATTTCACATGTTGATCATTATAAAAATTAAAATTATGTTACAATACAAAATTGTAAAAATCAAGGAGATCTTTAACTTACATATGTAACTTTTACTCTTGTGTATTTGGCTAGTGTGACTGAAGTCAGTACAGCAGCAATGGTAGTAGCAGAGTAACATCTGTGCACTCTGTCTCCATGTCAGCTTAAAGAATAAAATTTTGTCCATATTATTTTTATTCATGCACCAGTTTAAACTGAGTATTCTTTAAATACATATTTTGGTCATTATTTTTAACCATCAAGAGTAAAATGCTGAGTAAAAGAAGTCGTAACTTTTAGAATTTAGGGCTTGTCAAAGGAAGCTGAGCTCACATGGTATGTAAACACTGATTCATAAATGTGCTATGCATTTTTATTTCTAAAAATCTGTCTCAGGTGATAGAATTAAAGTTATACTATTTGAATATTTTGTCTTAGTCTTCAAATTTGAATGGACTGCTTTGGTTACCAAAAACTGTTAATACCTCCTTGAAAAATACTAGTAAAATTTCACCTGAAGTAGCATTCTTTTTTTTTTTTTTTTAGACGGAGTTTCGCTCTTGTTACCCAGGCTGGAGTGCAATGGCGCGATCTCGGCTCACCG